AAAAAAGTCTGGAAGAAACACTGATTCAGATCGCTGCCACCATGTTACATAACTACAACAAACACCGTTCTTCGAGTTGACCTTGATACTTGAGACAGAATAGATGCCACGACGTGTCTCTGGGTCGATCTATTGTTAACTGCCTCAAAGGTGCATAACAGCTACACAGTAAACACTAGTTATACAAGGGACGCAACTACGATATAAATAATAATAAGTGACGTAACGATAACTAACAAGAGAACGTAAATATTAGCAGTCTATATCAAAGGCGTAGCGACCCTTCCCGGCGCCCGGGGACAAACTTTCGATTATTTGCACCCCTCCCCCCGTCAGGATTTCGATTTGCACCACCCCCCCCCCCCCCGCCTCAACCTTTCGATTTGCACCCCCCTCTCAAGCTTTCAATATATTTCTCCAACCCATTTTGGCGCCCCCTAAGGTAGGCGCCCGGGGACATATGTCACCCCCCGCTGCCCCCCTCCCCCCTCGCTACGCCTCTGGTCTATATCGATTAGAATCAGTTTAGGCTAGCCACAGCTATTGTGTCTTGGTTCATTAATTTGCAGCTACAGCTGTGTGTTTAGTTTGTCATTATGTTAGCTTACAATCACAGGTCGTTTTTCTCTCCACATGTTATAGAAACTTGCCGTAGATTTATCTCACTGAAACTAATTTGTCTGTGTCTGATTTAGTTTGCTTCAGTACATTCGCCGCCCAAACATCAAACGATTATAAAGTTCAAACGTTTGAATGAGAATATTGATCTCAGCTCTGCTCACTAGCTAAAACAAGTACGCATCATCAATATTATAAATTAACTAACAACTCCTTTCACCACAGAAGCAAGGAAGCAAAAAATGCATAAACTTAGATGTTAAACAATTAATGAAGTGTAGAATTTTTAGTTTACAGCAGTAGCGTAGCGAGGGGGGGACGGACATATGTCCCCGGGCGCCGACATAAGGGGGCGCCAAAATGGGTTGGAAAAATAAATTGAAAGGTTGAGGGGGGTGCAAATCGAAAGTTTGAGGGGGGGGGGTGCAAATGGAAATTTCGAGGGGGGGGGTGGAAATCGAAAGTTTGAGGGGGGGGGGGGGTGAAATGGAAATCTCGAGGAGGGGGGTGCAAATCGAAAAGTTTGTCCCCGGGCGCCGGGAAGGGTCGCTACGCCTCTGGTTTACAGAAGTTTATATTGAGTTATTTTGTCATGTCTAATATCTTTTTTTAAAAAAAGCACGTTTCACCATCTCATACAAAGAAGACATTCTGTTAAAATAAACAAAATTGAAAAACAAATTCTGCAAAACAAAAATAAAAATGTCTGTATGTATTTACCTGAAAAATTCACTGCCTATTTCGTTGGACTAAAAAAAATCGGTAGGGCTTACTCCCCTCAACTTTGTCATATTTTTTTATACAATAGTAACGAGTGGGGTGGTAATTCCAGTTAAATCAAGCCACAGAAATATACATCTAAAAGTTTGTGAAAAGAGAAAAAACAAAGAGACGAAACGTTTTTAGAAAATTTTATTTTTTACAATATTTTATACATTTTTCAAATTCGAAGGTTTATTTGAGAAATAAAATATAGGATAGAATACATCCTACCAGATACAAAAATTCGCTAAAAGCTTATAGGTATCTAAGTATTTAAGATAATACCTAATATAAAATACCGATACCGGCGAAATAATAAAATTTCATCTATAAAATAAAACAGTATTCGTGTTATCGTTTTCCCATGGGAATCTAATCAAGTGCCACTTCAGGTTACAAAAAAAGTTAAAAAAATGACAGAAACCTGTGCGTCGTATCTGAAATTTAAATATAAATTTTTTTCCACCAAGCATTAATTGATTAATTGATTTATCATGTGTCGCCACTGGAGAGCAAAGGGCTGCCATTAACCTTTCCACCGGACTCGGTTTTGGCTGCTCCCTTTATTCGTGCTCCCTTGAGCCCAGCGGTCTTTGCCTCTTCCTCTACCGTTGTTTTTACAAGCTTTTATTTAACTCACTTCCTCTGTCTGACGTCAGTCTGTCTGTCTAGATCGAAACGGCCGAGCGAAATTACGGGCACTTCTAACTGACAGATACGGTTCGTAATTAGTACGTGGGTCAATACATGAAGACATCCCCATATCTTATATATTGGCTGTTGTTTCGTGTTTTGCCACAGGTCTTTATTTGAGTTTTTGTCTGACCATCTCGTTTTGAGGATCTGTCGTAACCATTTATTTGCGAACGACCAAGCTTTAACTGTTCCCAAATATCGGATTTTCTTGAACTGGAAGTTTAATTACTTCCTATTACCGGAAATCTCTCAAAAATGCCGGAATGCTCAAACTTAAAGTATCCATATCTAACTCATAAATATGAGAAATTATGTCAACTTTACTGAAACGGTACTAAATTTATGATACTCATATACATATACTAGGGCTTCATACACAAATATAGTTTTTCCGACTCAAGTTGATTTGTAAAAATCTCGATTTTTATTGTTTTATTTTTACACCAATACAATATTTCAATACGCCCTCTATACTCCCTTTTTGAGAGAGTAAAAAAAAAACAAGAAAAAATAGCAGTTAAAGTTGATAAACAGCTTGGGCTGTAAAAGATAAATCAACAAATTACATTCTTGAATTTGAATTTGTTTTTCTTCAAAAACTACCCTTAACCATTAACCTGTGTACATTTATTACTCTAATATTTAAACTGGTTTGGGTTTTTCCTACGTTTCATGTGAAGTGTGATAACTCATGTTGTTACCAGAATATTTAACTAACAGTCCGTGGCGCGTTAACGTTTTTTTTATCTCAGTGATCTACATGTCTGCTGGGGGCGACCTGGAATGTCTGCCAAGGCGCTGATCGATGTCGCTGATTAAAACTGCGATAGAGTTAAACAGGTCTTTCGGTTAATTTTATGCAGAACTGTTTAAGGAAAGCCAACTTGCATGTTGGTATTGGCAACCAAATCCTGTTTGCGTTTTTCTAGAAATATATCATACATAGGCCTCTCTTTATATATATATATATATATATATATATATATATATATATATATATATATATATATATATATATATATATATATATAGACTGAGACAGAGAGAGAGAGAGAGAGAGAGAGAGAGAGAGAGAGAGAGAGAGAGAGAGAGAGAGTTTATGTGAATGTGTGAATGTGTGAATGTGGCGCCCTTAAATACAAATACACATCTATATTTTAATATCTGTACCATTTTAAAGAGTGACCATACCATAGTGCTCTCTATGTAGAAGCTTCGAGACCAAAATGTTTTATGACTTTATTAAGGCAAACGTTACTTTCCTTTTCTTTCGCGACATTCATTTCTTACTGTTACGAAAGGATACGTCTACTTTTTTATCAATACAAGTTAATAAGGCTGTAGAGATAAAAATCACGAACTGTAAATTTTGTATTATGGTGTGTGTGGTTAAACATGTAAATTTTGTATTATGGTGTGTGGGGTGAACTGTAAATTTTGTATTATGGTGTGTGGGGTGAACTGTAAATTTTGTATTATGGTGTGTGGAGTGAACTGTAAATTTTGTATTATGTGTGTGGGGTGAACTGTAAATTTGGTATTATGGTGTGTGGAGTGAACTGTAAATTTTGTATTATGGTGTGTGGGGTGAACTGTAAATTTTGTATTATGGTGTGTGGAGTGAACTGTAAATTTTGTATTATGGTGTGTGGGGTGAACTGTAAATTTGGTATTATGGTGTGTGGAGTGAACTGTAAATTTTGTATTATGGTGTGTGTGGTTAAACATGTAAATTTTGTATTATGGTGTGTGGGGTGAACTGTAAATTTTGTATTATGGTGTGTGGGGTGAACTGTAAATTTTGTATTATGGTGTGTGGAGTGAACTGTAAATTTTGTATTATGTGTGTGGGGTGATCTGTAAATTTGGTATTATGGTGTGTGGAGTGAACTGTAAATTTTGTATTATGGTGTGTGGGGTGAACTGAAAATTTTGTATTATGGTGTGTGGAGTGAACTGTAAATTTTGTATTATGTGTGTGGGGTGAACTACAAATTTTGAATTATGGTTTGTGGGGTGAACTGTAAATTTTGTATTATGGTTTGTGGGGTGAACTGTAAATTTTGTATTATGGTGTGTGGGGTGAACTATAAATTTTGAGTTATGGTGTGTGGGGTTAACTGTAAATTTTGTATTATGGTGTGTGGAGTGACCTGTAAATTTTGTATTATGGTGTGTGGAGTGACCTGTAAATTTTGTATTATGGTGTGTGGGGTGAACTGTAAATTTTGTATTATGGTGTGTGGGGTGAACTATAAATTTTGAGTTATGGTGTGTGGGGTTAACTGTAAATTTTGTATTATGGTGTGTGGAGTGACCTGTAAATTTTGTATTATGGTGTGTGGGGTGAACTGTAAATTTTGTATTATGGTGTGTGGAGTGACCTGTAAATTTTGTATTATGGTGTGTGGGGTGAACTGTAAATTTTGTATTATGGTGTGTGGAGTGAACTCTGAATTTTGTATTATGGTGTGTGGAGTCGGCCGAGAGATTGAAAAACTATTTGCGCCCTGGGCAATTTTACGAGTCCCATATGAATACATTCAAACAGTATTTTTCGTTTGTTTAATAAAATATGAGATACTTATCACAAGATCAACTCCACTCTTGTGGTATATAATTAACTACTAGACCTTAGCTCTCCTAACAATAATGCGTCATTTGTCACTATAGTCTGCCTTAAAATAACAGGAAAAAAAATATCTTCAAAGTAAATGGAATAATATGTTTCATGACAGAGTTACATAGAGCTGGTGATATAATTCGATCCAATGCGTTTTAAGTACATTTAAGAAAGTTTTCACTATTCAAATGGTGAACGCAGATGCTCAGACAGCAAGGCTAGTCTTCGTATCAAGATATTAGAAGTAAAATTAGGAAAAGTTTATTCCGCCCTCAGATAAGTGAACGACATAATGTGTAAAATGACGACCTTGTTCTCAATAGCTGTGATTTACATCACAAACATGTGTTTGGTGTTTGGGGGTCTCTTCAACGCGGCGCTTTACAAACCAGCTATTTTAAGCTCTAATCATGTACTATACACCGCAGATTTAGCTAACGATGGATCAAATGAGACGGATATATTTAGTATGCACTGTGCTCATTCTGCTGAAGATAATCCAGGCTGGTGGATGGTGGATCTCAGAGGTCTTTACAAAGTGGAGCAGATAGTTCTGGTCAACAGGTGTGTTTAAGTTTTATACTTGCTTTACTTTCTTTAAGCATCGTGTAGAGCAATGGTTCTTAAGCTTTTTTTTTTTTTAGGTATGATCCCCAGTTTCATATGCGCATTCACCCAAAGGCGTAGCGACCCTTCCCCGCCCGGGGACAAACTTTCCATTTGCACCCTCCCCCCCCCCCCCCCCCCCCTCAAACTTTCGATTTGCACCCCCCTCAAACTTTCGATTTGTTTTTCCAATCGATATTGGCGCCCCTAAAGTCGGCGCCCGGGGACATATGTCCCCCCCCCCCCCCGCCCCCCCCCCCCTCGCTACGCCTCTGCATTCACCAAACCCTTGTTAAACGTTCTTTTGTTCGCGCTAACGATATCCGTTCGGGAGTCCTATGAGCGGGGTGTGTGTCTAGACAAATCCCATGAGACTGACTAACCAAACCCCTGGGGTTCGATGTAACACAGGTTAAGAACCACTGGTATATGGTGATTTAAAACGTTATAGTTAGATAGACTGTAATGCAATAATAAAAACGAACGCAGGACATTGTTTGGTAGTGTGAAGAATTGGGCGAGCATTATAAAAAATATAGGAACAAAAATTTTATTTTAGAGAGAAATGCAAACGTAGATATCTGTGGAGAAAGTCCACCTACCCTGTAACAGGTGTGAGAAACAAATAACAACCCCCACTTTGCTTTTATAGATTTAAGATTAATATGTGACAAATTGTTACGTCCCAGGAATTAAAAGCTAACATGTCTTTCTATCATTTTTACGGCAACTCCATCGAACTTATAAACAAAATACTTATATTCTATTTAGCTTAGCAGCTAGAATGGCAGTATAAAGTTATAAACATTACTTTTTTAAGGGTTATCAGTTGTATTATGTTATACTATATAAAAAACTAAATCAAGTTGAAGATGTAATTGAAAGACGGAAAAATATAATATACACTTTTAAATTAATACAGGATTTTTTGTTCGGAATGCTTTGATACACTTTTCTATTTTTTAAAATATTATTTTTCGCTACAGTTTTTATAATCTATATTTTACAATTATATTTTACAATTATATTTTACAATTATATTTTACAATTACACTTAACATTTGCATTTTACACTTACATTTTACACTTACATTTTACACTTACATTTTACACTTGCATTTTACACTTACATTTTACACTTACATTTTAAACTTACATTTTACACTTACATTTTACACTTGCATTTTACACTTACATTTTACACTTACATTTTACACTTACATTTTACACTTACATTTTACACTTACATTTTACACTTACATTTTACACTTACATTTTACACTTACATTTTACACTTGCATTTTACACTTGCATTTTACACTTGCATTTTACACTTACATTTTTCCGATGACAATTGTCCTTGAATTCTGACAGACGGGATGACGAAACTAGTATATAGAAATATAGAAAAATGTTCAAGTATGAAGAAACGTTTTCTCTTTCTTGTGTTCTAATTTACAGGGGAGACGATTACGATGGAAGCTTGAGAACTAAAAACTTCCAGTTTGATGTGTTTGAAACTGACCCACGGTTATCACGTGACTTCCCGATGGTATCTGGCCAAGTGTGCTACACGCGAGTTGAGCCAGTAGGACAAGGAGCCACGCTAACGAAAAACTGCACTGCACCCATTGTGGGACGCTTCGTCAGGTTTATCAGGTGCTGTTACCATTCAGAACAGTGACACGACACAAAAACTGACTTGTCTTTTTCTTTAATACGTTTTATTCCGCCCTTCTCGTTCACTACCTCTACAATTCATTTAGAGTGAGTCAACACGATTTTCATTCAGTCAAGAGAGCAAAAAGACGGTAAAATGAATAGTCCATATATATATATATATATATATATATATATATATATATATATATATATATATATATATATATATATATATATATATATATAATACTTTTACTATCATTAATTGATTTTTGCAGATACACCTTGGATCAAATTAATATTTGTGAGGTCAAGGTAATGTCCAGTTCTGCTATCTCCAACGAAAACAAATTCTCCGCCTTTAAAAACTCTCGCCTGAATTCGCCCTACCTGTTGACCACCTCAACTCCCAGCTCAATGTACTGCACACTGCTCTGTCTGGAGCGGAGAGACACGGATACGTGCACCGCCGTCAACTGGATTCGAACCACGAAAATGTGTCAGCTGTTTAACGTCAACCCTCGACTTCCAGTTTCCTTGACATCTAACACCAGCACAGATTTTTATCTGGAAAATTAACACACACACAGACATATGGACAGAATTGCAAAGCCCAGTTTTCCCGACTCGACTACACATAGAACGCTGAAATTTTGATAAATCTGATTTTTTTTGCCCGATTAAAATAAGTCCCCTATACTCTGTGTATGATGAAATACTGAGGTGTAAAGCGATGAAAACTGTCCAAATTTCATTTGATTTTTGTGCACGATTACAATACTTCCTCTATACTCTGTATAGAAAGACAGCAAAAGTAACTAAAAGTAAGTCACGAAAATACCATTTCTGTGTAATTAGTAAACCGATTGCGAGCTTTTGGGTGTTTCCGAGATGATGGAAAATATGATTATCAGATAAATGAGAAATACAGCCAAATACAGAATGATGACGGATAATAAACTTTTTGTAGAGCAGTTGTAAGATTTTGAAAAAATAATTAGTTTTTCTAATAATGAGATCATAAAAATTATATTTTCTAAAATTTAATTTCTTTTTCTCATTTAAGTTATTATTTTCTTAATACAAAAATGGACAAAGTATTAAAATAAACCGGGAGTGATCTCCCCTAAACTTTCTCGAATATTCTAATATAAAACTACGAGGGATGGCAACTCAGGACATAGACAATATTTGTAATCCATTTTTAATTACTTAAACTTTTTATAATAGATTAGAATCTCGTTAAAAAAAGAATTGCACACCAAGTGAACGTCTAATAAAATGTGCATAATAGTGCGCAATATTATGAGTACTTTATAAATTTACATGCGTTTTTTGAGAAATCGGAAATAGCGTAAATTAGTACTTCCGGTCAACGGAAATTACTCAAAATTTGACAGAAGGTAGAAAATTAGATTTTTTACTTACATGTGAAATTTCATGTATACTGTCTCCATATGGAGCAATGGCAAGCCGATATTTAGATCCAGCCTCCACATCTCTCCATTGAACTTGCTGCTCTGCAACTTCATTAGCCTTATTCTCTGCATTTTGCAATTAAGAACAAACATTTATTTTAATAAATACCGTTTAGAACTTTAGGGTCAATGTGGCAGGTGAAGTAGAGTTCACCTGTTTCGGTGACCTCGGCATATTAAGTTGTGGTGTGGTCAGCACTATGCCCAGTTGCCTTTTGTTTCTCTTACTAGAGTCATTTACCAATCAGAGTTGGGCGGACTCAGGTACGTGGTACTAACTCGAGCCCGGGATCCAAACTCGAGACTTTTTGGGTAGACAGGCTAAAGCTCTACCATTCGACCACTTCGTTTACGATTGACCTAGTTACATTTTAATAGCCCTTGCAAGAATCCACACGCATCATTTCAGACTCTGTTTTGAATTGTACAACTTGGCTGTAACACTTTTTGCCTTAAAACACAGTTGCTAACCTATCACGTGATAACAGAATACAAAACTTATATTTATCTGATCAGCTTTTATTGATTTCAAAAACATGGGAAACAAACTCAAGTCAACAAAATCTTTTCCGACCTGGTTATATAACCCCAGACATTACCCTTATTCCCCAATTAAGGTTATTTAACGAAACATAATGTTAACATATTTACATTGTTAAACAATATGTTACACTGTGTTTCTAGCCTTTTACTTATACTACTTTACATTAGGCTATGTTATATTTAAGGTGTTTTCTTTATATGATTTTTTATCATGTGCGAGTCTGATCTACTTAAAGTTGTAGAATCGTTAAATTTATGTTTTTCTTATATAGGCCTTTCTGGAATTTTGTTGTAAAGTGGCTTAATGTCTGTGTAGATTAAAGAAGGGGAGGGGGGTCAGGAATGTCCAGGGGGTTATTAACCGGAAGCCAAGATAATGACTAGGGGCTGGGTTTTCGCAGTTTCATCTCAACAAAGTCAAGAGAGGTGTTCACATGGGTAATGGAGTCCCAGTGGATTCTTGGCCGTAAGCTGTTTCTGCCCAAATTCCATTCAAGTTGACAGAACCGCACCACCTGTCTAAGGTGCGCCACCACCAACCGGTTCGTCCATACCAGAGTGTACATCGGATAGAACGGACGTCGACGGTTGAGAATGGCATTCCTATGCTACCCATCATATCATCCAAACGTGTGGGGTCGGCGTGGTCGAGTCGGTAAAGCTCATGGTTGCTAAACCGAAAAGTCTCGTGTTCGAACCCTCGGGCAGATGAAGCTCGTAAGCTGGGGACAGCCACTCTTCTCGGAGAGACAACTCCAAAATTAAACAACTGCTGCCTTGTAGTTTTTCCTTGGTTGGGCAAAGGCTATGGAAGCAAATCCAAAAAGAAAAGCAGGCTGAAATCGGAGTCAATGGCCTCAATGGCGCATAACCTGTTGACACGTAACGCTTAATTGTGTTGGAGGCGTGGTCGAGTCGGCAAAAAGCTCATGGTTGATAAATTCGAACAGAGTTTCGAGTTCAAACGCACTGGCAGATAAATCTCGATCCCCTTCAACACTAATAATTAAGAACGAAGAAGAAGAAGATCCAAACGTGTGCTGCCTCTGAAGCCGTTGTAGGTCAACCGATAGAAGTTTGCTTCGTCTTCCACCTTGTAGTTTTTGTACGTAGCATAATAGGTGTGTCCTTTCCATTTCATGTCAACTCTCATATCAGTATAACCCTGTGAAATCATTGGGGATGAATGCACTTAAAAAAAAACTGTAAACACTGAATGAATTTCTGCTATACTCACCTCAATCATAAAGAAACTTCTTTTGTTTAATTGTAAGTTACTTAAAGTAATAGAATAGAGCTTTTTGGAAATTTTCTTTTCTATTCTTTCACTCACTGCTCCCTTTTTATTTCATCCCCCATACGCATTTCTTTCTTTGCCCCTTCCCCATCTCCTGCTCCCCCTTTAATGACAAATCTTTACCGCAACAGTCAGTTTTCTAATCACAGCATTTCCAATCCACAAGTCTCCATCAAACGAGCCAAATCCATCTCGATACTGTGCCCAGGTTTTATTTGCAAATTCCACATCACCTTTGATACGACGCTAGAGATATGTTTTACAAGTGTAATATTTAGCATCTTGCAGTGTCGTTTAACTTAGAAACATTTTGAAAATGGTGAAAGTAGTTGAAATATATGTTAGAAATGTAAACTAAATCTTATCTAAAATATTTACATTTTAAGAAAAAATAATTTTGCATATTATTTTAAAATACATTTGTGAAAATCAAACCTGGATGATGATCCAACCACCCCCGTCAGTTTTAGTGTCACACAGTACAAGCTGCCCTTTCAATGATTCCAACGCAGTTCTATTTTTTAAACAGGAAAGCATGGAACCTTTTTCACATTTTCGCTTTTCCTTTAGTGATCAGTGAATAAATTATCAGCCGTGTAAATACAAACTAACTTCGATATATATATATATATATATATATATATATATATATATATATATATATATATATATATATATAACACATTTAATTTATAGTTTTTCAGCTATAAGAAAAAATAGGAAATCTACTGAAGAAATTATTTAACGAATATTATGTAAATAATTAAATTGATTAAATAGACTGACCTGACCTAAAGTTGTTTTACAGCCAATGATTCGAACACAGTTCTATCTTTTAAACAGGGAATCGTGGAACCTTTTTCACATTTCGGCTTTTCCTTTAGTGACAGTAAAAAAATCAGCCGCATAAATACAAAATAACTAAGATTGTGTGTTTTATTAAGAGATAGTATTTAATTTCTCACTTTATATTCTATAAAAAAAATTATGTGAAAATCGTAATCCGCCGAAAATGTTTGGACAAACTGAATTAAAAGGAAACTCATGAGGGGTCGGGGCATCGTAGAATAGAAGTATCCAAACGCATTAACAAAGAAAATGCAAATGTATTTATACATACATACAATTCATATATATATATATATATATATATATATATATATATATATATATATATATATAACATTTATGGCTTTTCAGCTTTCAAAATAATAGGAAATCAACTAAAGAATTTGTAAAGCGATTATTACTTTAATAATTAAATTGATAAAAAGCACTGACCTGACCTAAAGTTGCTCTACACTTTGGAGGTCTGTTCTTGCAACGACTTTTTAAAGATTTTTTGGTGTATCTGTTCTCTTTTAATACAGTAAATGAAGGTAAACGCAAGGTAAATTAACACAATTATAAAAAAAATAACCCTAGTCGATGAAATATTGTTTTCTATTTTAGTTAGTCTTTAGAGATTCATCTGACAATAAGTTGACTTAGAGCAATTACATAAAATAGTTAAAAACACATACACATAAACCCACAGTCCAGTACACAATCAGACACAAAAACGGCTTGTAACAGCACATTATCACTACATTTAACATTACATTAATTCTGAAGAGGCTCACATTTCAAATAATTTAGGAATAAAATATTCGGATATTCATTTTGATCAATAATAGTACCAAAAATTATAAAACGGAACTATGTTCTAGTAGTAGTCTAGTAGTAATCGGGCAGATGAGGCTCGTTAGCTGGGGACAGCCACTCTTCTAGGAAAAACAACTCCAAAATCAAACAACTGCTGTCTTGTAGTTTGTTCTTGGTTGGACAAAGGCTATGGAAGCAAATCCAAAAAGAAAAGTAGGCTGAAATCGGAGTCAATGGCCTCAATGGCGCATAACCAGTTGGCACGTAATCCTTAATTGTGATGGAAGCATGGTCGAGTCGGCAAAGGTCATGCTTGATAAATTCGAAAAAAGTCTCGAGTTCAAACCCTCTGGCAGATAAGGCTCGATCCCTCCCAACACTAAAAATTAAGAATGAAGAAGAAGAAGAAAGGAACATGTTTAAAGCAAACTGAAGCTTAGAAACTAAAAACAGTATACAAGATGTTGCAGCCTAAGATACAGACTCACCCGTTTCATCATCAGCATCGGGAGACTGGAATTGATGGAAGAAAACAGCAATGGCGAGCCACCAAGTGAAGTAGTCCATTGCGGAGTGAAGTCAACTAGGCTGGGGTCTTTACTGTAATGAGATGAACTTTCTAGATAGCCTCCTCTTTTGAACAGCCAGTTAGCTAACCAACAGTGGTTTCGTTAACCAACAGTCTTAAAGTTCGGGAGCAGATGGTATAGTTATTTGTTGTATTTTACATACGTGTCAGATAAAGTCAGTATAATAGAATTTTCTTATAAATTGGAGAAAGGATTAAGGTTGTTGGGAGTAAATTGGTAAATTATAAATTACTTTGGAAAAATCTTTAGTTAGATGTTACTGGGATAAATGCTTAACCAGTAAGTTAGGTAAGAGCTTACGTGACCGTTGTCAAGGATACGGTTATCTATTTGAATGTTTTTGTTATTGGCCAATGATGTAGATATTTTTTTTTAAATTTGTCCTGTCTAGTTTTTGAGGTTGCTGCATTAAATAAGTGAAGGTATAGGTTAGTGTAATTTGAGCGTGTAGTCTTGTTTAATGTAGTCTTGTTTAAAGTGAAAGTCTAGGTTAGTGGAAAAGATTAGCATAGTATAAGGGTTGTAGGTTAGTGTAATTTGATAGAACAGGTGAGCATAGTATAAGGGTTGTTGGTTAGTGTAATTTCGGCTTGTATTCTAGTTTAATGTGTAAGTGTAGGTAATGTAATGTTAGGTATTAGGTTAGGTTAATTTGAGGGTATTAGGTTTATGTAATATGATAGTACTAGTTAGTGTAATGAGAGGGTTTAGTTTAGTGTAGTTGCAGTCAGTGGCGTAGCGAGGTCGGGTGTCACCCGGTGCGGCACTTAATGGTGTCACCCCCCCCCCCCCCCCAGAGGCGTTGCGACCCTTCCCGGTGACAAACTTTCAAGTTTTCGATTTGCACCCCCCACTCAAACTTTCGATTTGCACCCCCCCCCCTCAAGTTTCTCTCTATATATTTTGCTATTTTTTGCCTTGGTGTCACCCCCCTAAATGGTGTCACCCGGTGCGGTCCGCACCCCCGTCCCCCCCCCCCCTTCGCTACGCCCCTGGCTGCAGTATAGTTTAATCTGAAGCTTAGGTAGTTATATGTGTGGGAGTTAGTTAATGTATTATGGTCGTTAGGTAAGTGTGTTGTGAAAGTGAAGATTAGTGTAAACTAAGGGTGTAGATTAATGCATTAAAAAGGTAGAAAGCTGTTGGTCTGTTAAATAAATACGCAGAAATAATTCCTTTTTTAAAAATTTATCAGTCTCTCTTTCTCTGTATTTCTCTCTCTGTATCCCTCTGTAAATATATATATATATATATATATATATATATGTATATATATATATATATATATATATATATATATATATATATATATATAGGTTATTATCATGTGATAGATAATGTTAGTGATCTGTACTCAAGTCACTTTGGTGTAGTTTTTTGTGTTAATTTTATTCGATCTATCGATGTGGTTGGTGCATCCTATTTTTAAAAAAAAATTCATAAAAAACGTTTTAATAACAAGCTTTTATGTAATGATGCACTAAAAAGTAGAAAATAAATTATAGACTACTATTTAAATAACTATAAAGAAAAGCGTGGGTCACTTTAGTATCTATTGGATACCTTTACTAATGTTAAGGAAGACACCCACGCTTTTCTTTATAGTTATTTAAATAGTAGTCTATAATTTATTTTCTACTTTTTAGTGCATCATTACATAAAAGCTTGTTATTAAAACGTTTTTTATGAATTTTTTTTTCAGTACTTTACATGTTTTATCTACAATAGAGTTACATGACTAAAAACCATTGCGCGCCTACTGAATATCACGTTCAGTAGGCGCGCAATGGTTTTTGAACGCAGCCGTTACGTGGTCGTGATGGCGCAGCTATTGATGACGCGTGTGGTGTGGTTGGCTAGACATGCCTACTAATTCGGTCCAAATTTTAATTAATTCATAAAAAATCAATTAGGCATCCAATTAAGTCAAATTTAGTTTCAGATTGCATTGTCTTCATGTCTTGACCCACGTGCCAACTGTGAATCGTGTCGGTCAAGTAGAACTGTCCGAATTTTCACTCCTGCGTTTCCGTCTAGACCAGGGGTCTCCAAACTTTTCAGTCCGAGGGCCGCATTAACTATCAAATTTCAGTTCGGGGGCCAGTTTCTTCCAGGCATGTTCCTCAGCCATCACCAACAAATATTTATTCCGTGGACAAAAAGATCTCCGCGGGCCGGATGAGAGGACCTCGCGGGCCGCATCCGGCCCGCGGGCCGTAGTTTGGAGACCCCTGGTCTAGACTGACGACAGACTGACGAGGAAGTGAGTTAAATAAAAGCTTGTAAAAAAATTCATAAAAAACGTTTTAATAACAAGCTTTTATGTAATGATGCACTAAAAAGTAGAAAATAAATTATAGACTACTATTTAAATAACTATAAAGAAAAGCGTGGGTCACTTTAGTATCTATTGGATACCTTTACTAATGTTAAGGAAGACACCCACGCTTTTCTTTATAGTTATTTAAATAGTAGTCTATAATTTATTTTCTACTTTTTAGTGCATCATTACATAAAAGCTTGTTATTAAAACGTTTTTTATGAATTTTTTTTCGTACTTTACATGTTTTATTTACAATAGAGTTACATGACTAAAAACCATTGCGCGCCTACTGAACATCACGTTCAGTAGGCGCGCAATGGTTTTTGAACGCAGCCATTATGTGATGGCGCAGCTATTGAAGGTGATGACGCGTGTGGTGTGGTTGGCTAGACATGCCTACTAATTCGGTCCAAATTTTTATTAATTCATAAAAAATTAATTAGGCATTCAATTAATTCAAATTTTGTTTCAGGTTGCATTGTCTTCATGTCTTGACCCACGTGCCAACTGTGAATCGTATCGGTCAAGTAGAACTGTCCGAATTTTCACTCCTGCGTTTCCGTCTAGACAGACTGACGACAGACAGAGGAAGTGAGTTAAATAAAAGCTTGTAAAAAAAAATTCATAGAAAACGTTTTAATAACAAGCTTTTATGTAATGATGCACTAAAAAGTAGAAAATAAATTATAGACTACTATTTAAATAACTATAAATAAAAGCGTGGGTCACTTTAGTATCTATTGGATACCTTTACTAATGTTAAGGAAGACACCCACGCTTTTCTTTATAGTTATTTAAATAGTAGTCTATAATTTATTTTCTACTTTTTAGTGCATCATTACATAAAAGCTTGTTATTAAAACGTTTTTTATGAATTTTTTTTTTCAGTACTTTACATGTTTTATTTACAATAGAGTTACATGACTAAAAACCATTGCGCGCCTACTGAACATCACGTTCAGTAGGCGCGCAATGGTTTTTGAACGCAGCCATTACGTGATGGCGCAGCTATTGAAGGTGATGACGCGTGTGGTGTGGTTGGCTAGACATGCCTACTAATTCGGTCCAAATTTTAATTAATTCATAAAAAATCAATTAGGCATCCAATTAAGTCAAATTTAGTTTCAGATTGCATTGTCTTCATGTCTTGACCCACGTGCCAACTGTGAATCGTATCGGTCAAGTAGAACTGTCCGAATTTTCACTCCTGCGTTTCCGTCTAGACAGACTGACGACAGACAGAGGAAGTGAGTTAAATAAAAGCTTGTAAAAATACGGGTCATCTGTTTTGATGCACTCAAAGATCGATTTTACAATAAAATCTTGTCAGGATCTGATTGGTTTGTTCGAACCGTTGTTGGTCAGGTCAAGATGAACCCCAGATCATATAATTAATGTTATCGATTAGGTCGCGTCTGTCAAGAAGCTATGTGCAGTAGCGTAGCGAGGGGGGGGGGGGCGGGGGGGACATATGTCCCCGGGCGCCGACCTTAGGGGGCGCCAAAATGGGTTAGAAAAATAAATTGAAAGGTCGATGGGGATGCAAATCAAAAGTTTCAAGGAGGGGGGGGGGGGGTACAAATCGAAATCTTGAGGAGGGGGGGTGCAAATTGAAATCTTGAGGGGTGGTGCAAATCGAAAAGTTTGTCCCCGGGCGCCGGGAAGTGTCGCTACGCCTCTGGCTCTGTGTAAAGCAAAAATAAGTTTAGACACAACATTGACATATCATTATGACATTTTAAATTCCGCTCTCCATCTTTAACTTTAACTGACGACTTAATCCTGTTTGTACACTATGTGTAATGCAACCCGTATATTGATGTAAACATTTAATACTACATCTTGTAGATACCTGAAAGGAGTAGACAGTTAAAATTGATAGAAGCATTCATTTGATCCCTGAGTCATCCTTCATCAACATCCCTTTATGTTCCTGTAACAGACAAAAATAAGCGGTCAAACTAGGGATCGGCGTGGGCTAGTCGGTAAAAGCTCATTGTTGCTAAACCGAAAAGTCTTGAGTTCGAACCCTCGGGCAGATGAGGCTCGTTAGCTGGGGACAGCAACTCTTCTAGGAGAGACAACTCCAAAATCAAACCACTGCTGCCTTGTAGTTTGTTCTTGGTTGGACAAAGGCTATGAAAGAAAATCCAAAAAGAAAAGCAGGCTGAAAGCATAACCAGTTGACACGTATCCTTAATTGAGTTGGAGGAGATCCCTTCCAACACTAAAATTAAGAACGAAGAAGAAGTATAGTTCAAACGGATCAGTTTTCAAACCCATAATACTATTTTTCTGAGAATCTGATAACTTTCTGCTGTTCACATCTCCTTACCAAACATCAAGTTTATGTCGCATCTGCATGTCGTCGACCCAATGTAAGCACTTTAAAAATGTATAGTTTATATAACACCGTAGTCAGTCAGGGACAAGTTTAGTCACTTTAAACCCTATTATTGAGATTGCTATTATTTTTCCTCTAAGTTGAATATCGCGCTTTTGAAGAACAATATCTCTGAAAATGTTCAGCCAATATTCGATCTAAGTAATGTGAGCAATTTATAATTTACCAATTTAATTCCAACATCCTTCAACCTATCTCCAATTTATTACAAGAGTCTAGTCGCTTCATCTGCGTACGCCTGGACATGGGGGGGGGGGGGGGGGGGGGGGGTGTCTAAAACACTAAATATTTAAATCTAGCCCCCGGCTAATCAACTATTGGGGCGTCAGTGCAGGTCTGACTAAATCCAGACAGGTTAAACCCTAACCTTAGTCTAATCTGAAAAAAAAAAATAAACCAGCTTATAAATTTAATTTTTTTAGAAAAAAAGTTGAGTCATACTATTTAAAAAAAAACAACAAAAGCCTTATCTCTAATTCAAATTTATTACGAGCAACTAAATTTACAACTTTACTATAAAAACAAAACACAACAAACAACAACAAAAGAAATAAAACAAAACAAAACACAACAAACCAAACAAATACTGAGCCAAGCTACACATACACACGTGGTACACGGAGCGCCCACATTGAAGCCGATCCTAGATATCTACAATCTCGACCAGGAGAGTTAAATAACTACCCTAACGGTCACTCGGATTATATCCTGCTTGACCGGAAGCTACGTGGTCCATGTCCACTATAACGTTAACACACAGATTCGCACACAAAAGAAAATAATAAATATACACACACAAGCCATTCACCTGCTCACATTTGACACGTATAAAAAATACATCAATTAGCTCTACCATCTGTTCACAAACTTTAAGACTGTTGGTTAATAAAACCACTGTTGTTTAAGTTAACTGTCTGTTCAAAAAAGGGGGCTCTCTAGAAAGTTCTAATTACAGTCCAGCCTAATTGACTTCAGTGAGCAATGGACTACTTCACTTGGTGGCTCGCCATTGCTGTTTTCTTCCATCAGTTCCAGTGTCCTGATGCTGGTCATAAAAAGGGTGAGTCTTTTATGTGATTGCTTTATGTCAAATAGTTGTCTAAAGTCTAACTAAAATTCAACACTTCGTGTGTTTTAAAACAAAAAGAGATATGGTGTCATCCATAAATGACGTCACGCTTTTTTTGGACAATTTTTACCTCCCCCTCCCCTCCCCTCCGTCGCACGTCGTCACAAAAAGCCAGAACCCCCTAATATGACGCCACACCTCAGCCTACAACACCCCCCTCCCTCAAAATTGCAGTTGAATTTATTTTTTAAAACATCAATATTTTTCTAAAATCTTGTCTGAACTCTGTCAAAATAGAGTATTTTAATCAACAATTCCTATTACAATTTATTAAAACAGTTTTCTAAAACGCGAAATAACCTCTAAAATTCGTTTTCTAACATTGCTTTTTTATAAATCAAAAGTGTGACGTCGCACCATCTGAGCCCCCCCCCCCTCCTCCCCCACCGTCACAAAATTACGGACCCCCCCTCCCCCCTACGAGTGTGACGTCATTTATGGACGACCCCTATACCATTCCTACCAACTCATTTCATCCATTAGTTTTATTGTATATTAGGTTGTTCATTTATCAGGCGTTAACCTTTACTTACTGCAGTAAAAGCGCATGAAAAAGCTGTTGTCACAACAGATGGCTGTAAAACAACTTTAGGTCAGGTCAGTCTGTTAAATCAATTTAATTATTTACATAATATTCGTTAAATAATTTCTTCAGTAGATTTCCTATTTTTTCTTATAGCTGAAAAACTATAAATTAAATGTGTTATATATATATATATATATATATATATATATATATATATATATATATATATATATATATATATATATATATCGAAGTTAGTTTGTATTTACACGGCTGATAATTTATTCACTGATCACTAAAGGAAAAGCGAAAATGTGAAAAAGGTTCCATGCTTCCCTGTTTAAAAAATAGAACTGCGTTGGAATCATTGAAAGGGCAGCTTGTACTGTGTGATACTAAAACTGACGGGGGTGGTTGGGTCATCATCCAGGTTTGATTTTCACAAATGTATTTTAAAAACAATATGCGAAATACTTTTTCTTAAAATAATGTAAAATGTAAATATTCAGATAAGATTTAGTTTACATTTCTAACATATATTTCAACTACTTAAATGACAATGCAAGATGCTAAATATTACACTTGTTGTAAAACATATCTCTAGCGTCGCATCAAAGGTGATGTGGAATTTGAAAATAAAACCTGGGCACAGTATCGAGATGGATTTGGCTCGTTTGATGGAGACTTGTGGATTGGAAATGCTATGATTAGAAAACTGACACATGCGGTAAAGAACTCGATTTGATTTGTTATTAAATGGAGAGAATGAGATGGGGGAGGGATGAAAGAAAAGCGTATGAGGGATGATATAAAAAGGGAGAAGTGAGTGAAAAAAAAAAGAAAACATATAAAATTTTAAGTGTCCAAATAAAAAAAAATCTGTATTGTGTTACTGAAAGTAACTAACAATATAAGTTTAATTCACGATTCATGAGATTGAAGCAGGAAACGAATTAGCTCTTTATAAATTTAAAAAAAATTAAGTGCTTTAACACTGAATGATTTAACAGGGTTATACTAATTTGAGGATAGACATGGAATATCATGGAGAAAAACTGCACGCTTTGTACACGCACTTCAAAGTTAAAGAAGAGTCACACTTCTATCAGATGTCCTACAAGGGCTTCAGTGGTAACGTACGGCATGATGATTTCAAAAGCAGCAATGGGATGAAGTTTGCCACTTTCGACTTTCCTGACAACGGTTGTTCACTCTGGTACGGTCGTACCGGCTGGTGGTGGCAGGTCTCAAAGGCCAGTTGCGGTGCCACAAACTTGAACGGAATCTGGGCGTGTAAAGACTACGGCAAAGGAATCTACTGGGTGGCACACACTACTAATCAGAGAAGTCTCAGTTTTGTTGAGATGAAACTTCGAAAATCAGACCCCTAATCATTACTTTGGCTTCCGGTTAATAACCCTCTGACCCCCAACCCCTTAAACCCACACAGACACTAAAAAGGCACTTTACAATAAACCCCAGAGAAGTCTATACAAAGGTAAATTTAAATGTATATATTTTTTTTCTACATAAAATAAAGCTACTCAGCAGCCATGAAGTAATCAGATTCGCACATGATAAAAAGTCATACACCGACAACTTAAATATAACATAGCCTAATGTAAAGTAGTATAAGTCTAAACTAGAACACTGTAACATATTGTTCAATATAAGTAAGTTAACATTATATTTCGTTATATAAACTTAATTGGGGAGTAATGGTAATGTCTGGGGTTAACTACCCAGGTCGGCATTGATAGGACAAGATTTTGTTGACTTCAGTTTGTTTCTCATGTTTTTGAAATCAATAAAAGCTGATCAGATAAATATAAGTGTTGTATTCTGTTATCACGTGATAGGTTATCAATAATTTTGTTTGTAAGGCAAAAAGTGTTACAGCAAAACAGAGTCGGAAATGATCCGTGTGGATTCTTGCAAGGGCTACTTAAATGTAACTAGCTGCATCCCGTGCTCCGCCACGGTAAATCTTTTTAAATGTACAACTTTGGAACAGAACAAAACGAACAAAAACACAACCACAACACAACCACAACACAAACACAACCACAACACAACCACAACACAACACCACAACCACAACGCAACCACAACACAACCACAACACAACCACAACACAACACAAACACAACACAACACAACCACAACCACAACCACAACACAACCACAACACAACCACAACACAACCACAACACAACCACAACACAACCACAACACAACCTCAACACAACCACAAAACAACGACAAAACAACCACAGCCACAACATTAGAATCACCACCAAACAACACGCTTTTTTAGGCGTCCGCGCTCAAAGAGAGCCTTTATTTAAGTCACAAAAATAGATTCTACTCCATAACTTACAATAAAACAATGCAATGCAAATAAATGTACGGCAAGTGGTGTTTACTTTTATGGTTCTAAGAAAACACATTGGCAATGTAATTAGAATCACCACCGAAAAACACGCTTTTCCCAGGCGTCCGCGCCCGTAGAGAGCCTTTTCAGCATTCTCTATACTATAATCCTAAAATTTCACCATCTGTTAACACCGAAAAACAAAAACAAAAAAATGTGATTTTGAGAGATCATAGACTAATTAGAAAATAATATAAATAATCTTAACATTTTTCTATTTTACTTATGAACCTTAACATATAATAATCAATGTGGAAGTAATAAAAAAATAACTTAAATTATTGAGAGTGAGTTAAATATTAAAAAAAAAAATTTTCCCATACGTCCGCGCTCAGAGAGAGCCTTTCCAGTCTTCTCAAAAAGTCAAATTTTACCATCTGTTTTCATAACACCGAAAAACAAAAGCAAAAAGAAAGTGATTTTTGAGAAATCATAGACTAATTAGAAAATAATAATAAATAATATAAATAATCTTAACATTTTTCTCTTTTAATTATGAACCTTAACATGTAATAATCAATGCGGTAGTAATAAAAAAAAATTAACTTAGATATTGATGAGTTAAATATATTTTTAAATAACCTCCCTTGCAAAAAAATTACTAAACAAAAGTTGAATTAATTAGTTTTTTCGACCTACTTTCATGAAAATATATCCATTTTTTCTAAGAATATAAACGAAAATGATAATTAACATTGATTTTTTAAGTATGTTTTAGCCATTTTCGTGTATTTAATATTTTCTTTAAGTTATGCAAAAGAGTAAACACAGTGGCAATTATAAAATAGCGCTATGTGGCTATATAAACAAACCCTACTCTACTACTTATAATAAGACACTGCGGTGCACTGAAAAGCACAGCATGGTGCGTTGCTTACTTTTATAGTCCCAAAATCTATAGCGATGACGGACGGAAGGAAGGAAGGAAGGACACGCTCAGCCCGCTTATATTATAGACTAGCTGCATACCCGTGCTTCGCCACGGTTAAACTTTTTTAAATGTACAAATATAGGTACAGAACAAAATAAATAGAACATAAAATTAAAATCATGAAATTAAACAGACAAAAATATAACATCAGAGAACAATTGTTTATGAACAGATTACCTCACAAAGTAACCATGAAATTTATAGTTTTCTAATGAACAGAACAGTTCAAATAAGGATCAACCGTAGCATGCTATGTTCCTACCCCCAGGCTGGTGGGAATATTTTTTTTATGGAAGCGTTAGCTGAAAACAATAAGTAAATAGTTTTCACCCAGGGCAAGGGACGTGGACCCCCTTCCATGTGCTGCCCCACGCATGCGTTCCTTGTTGGAATACACGGCCGTTTGTTTGATAAAGCCACGGCTGGCTATGAAGTTTAACTAATTGGCAAAAACTTCTTTATAGACCACATTTTTGGTGTAAATTCTGTGGTCTTTCTTTAAATTGCCTTGCTGTTCAGTTCTTATGACTTTTACTTTGATTCTCTGAAATGACCTGGATCTGGAGAATGCTACATAGAGTTGCCCATGACTAAAAACTGGTGAAGGCAAATAAATGCCTACAGTATCCATTGTTTGTCCTTGGCTTTTATTTATCGTCATGGCAAAAGCAAGTCTCAATGGAAACTGTTTCCTTCTTAACGTGAAGGGAAGGTTGGAGTCACTGGGCGAAAGAATAACTCTTGGTATGAACACTCTCGTGCCTTTAAACGACCCGATCATTATTTCGCAGTCTATGACCTTTGACATTAGCTGCTTGACGACCATTCTGGTGCCATTGCAAAGGCCTCTGGTGGAATCAAGGTTTCGGAGCAACATAACAACTGACCCAACTTTCAAATTAAGTCTATGAGGTGGCATACCTCCAGGTGTTAGACTGTTCAAAAACTCCAATGGATAGTTTGCTGCCTCCTCTGCATTTGTACTGTCTTGCTGAATGGAATCGATACTCTGATAGCATTTTAATTCCGATTGAACTCTTGTTAGAATAATTTCATTTAATTCGATAGATTCCTGGTTTTTTGGTGTTAGGATGGCCCGGTTATCAATGCTTTCATCACCTGGTACGATGACCTTAGGAAAGACGGCATCTACAATACACCCGTTTTCGATGCAGACTGGTGGAACTTCAAAGATGTCTTCCTCTAATCCCGGCTCTTGTAGTTTTCCATCACCAAGTTTTAAAAGCCATTCTGAAAAATCCAGGGTTTGTAACAGATCGTTCTGGTCATTGGCACGCATGTTTTGGTCTAACTTTAAGACCTGAATGTGATTCCAACATTTGCTGTTCTTCATGCATGAGGAAACTATTTCAGTCCTACTGCCATGTGGAACAACAGGGAGAATTTGTCGAAAATCGCCTCCGAATAGAAAAACAGCACCTCCAAACGGTTTCCTAGAAGGAACGTGTGGGTTTTCAGCTAAAAGCTCTTTAAAAAGTGAGTCAACTGCATCAACTCCATGTGCTGGGACCATTGAAGCTTCATCCCAGATTATCACTTTGGCCTTTTTAAGCTCGTTCGCCGTATTTGTCCCGTGTCGCACATTACAGGTGGATGTTTCATTTATTGGAATAGGCAGCTTAAAACGGCTGTGTGATGTTATGCCTCCCTCAAGTAAAGTTGCTGCTATGCCCGTAAATGCACATGGCAAGACCAATTCATTTTTGCTGCGTACGTAGTGCATGATTGTGTTGTATAGGAACGTTTTACCACTTCCTCCTGGTCCATCAATAAAGAAGAGACGGTTGGGTAAGTCAGGATTTTCAATGGATGTCCTGATTATGTCGAAAGCCTTTCTTTGTCCAGAGTTAAGCATGCGAAACTTTTCTTCAAACAATGTCCCTTCAGTCACTGGATCAAATTTTTTCCCAGGATGAACAGGCTCTGCATATCTGTCGGCTGGGAGGTCTAGGCGAAAATCTGCCAATGACTTTCTATGAGTCAGAAAGACAGATTCAATATCTTTTAGTGTTAAAAATAAAGCTCGATTTCCATCAGGAAATTGTCTTTGAAAGTCTTCCATCAGAGATTTGGAATGTCTGTCAAATAATGCTGCTGCATCTGAAGGCTCACACATGAGACAAATAAAAGCAAACAACTGTCTAAGTTGCACTGGCATTTGATGGATTGCAGCTTCTGTTAGGCATGCATCCCATTCGGAGTCATCATCGGTCAAACCCCTTGCAATGCATGCTTCCTGAAAGGTTGCAAATGGGGTATGATTTCTTTCAACCTTTCTGATGTCAGTGTAAGATGTGGCACCTTTAACATTAAGAAGAAGAATACGGAGAAACCATTTTTCTCTATCTGTGGGGCTTACTGAATACATTCTTCCAATTGTTGTTTCGTGTCCCCTAAGACGCGGTTTCCATTTGAAGTTTTTGTCATCCCATGTATAGTGTTCGGGGATTTCAATATATAAATGATCTCGGGCATTTGGATCTTCCTGATTGAGCTTAAACCAAGCCAGAAGCTTGGACTTTGTGGCTTTCTGTTGCACAGCTTCAGCCTCCTTGCCTGGAATAAAGCATATTGTTTGTTTGTCCTCAAGGTGGACATTTAACCTTTCCACATGATGAGTTTGGTGGTGCATTTTATATTCCCTGAGCCTCCAACATGCTTCAGGTGCACTTACATATCGAGTCTCCAAATAATGTTTAACCTCGTCCCATTCCACAACAGTTTCTTGCTCCGTGTTAACAGTTTGAAATTGTATATTTGCACAGTCATGTCCCTTGTAAACGTATTTAAACAAATACTTTACACTTTGAACTGAGCTGCATATTTCTACATTTATGTGGGCGTTATATTTTAGAGTCAGGTATGGGTTGTATGGCACCACCCATCTGTTGTCCAATTTGTTTCCACCACTTTCAACAAAATGTCCATTGTCACGGCGTTGATATTGCGGATACCCCCTGACGTTGCTGTTGGTTTCTGCACAGAAAGCTTTTGGGTATTCTTTGCTGCATTTACCATTTTCCATGCATGTTGATTTTGGATTCAGCGGACCACATGGGCCGTGTATCATACAGGTTTTTACTATTTCATGTAGACGTGGGTGTGAGGCTTTATCTGGGATTTCTGCACAAACTATTTTGTTTATTCTTTCATTTTCCCAGGCTTTGTCTTCCGGCACCATAAACATCAATATGTGCGCGTGTGGTAGACCCCGTTTCTGAAATTCGATAACGTAAAGCATTGCTCTAACACGTCCAAATCTATGAAATTTAGTTAAATCATTCAGGAGCAATTTCAGTTTCATTTCGAAAACTCTAGCTACCAAATCAGGCCTATCACATGGCTGCTGGCCTGCTAGTAAATTTTCCTTTATTTCACTCCATTTGGGGTTGCAGGTTACTGTCACAAACAAATCAGGTTTACCATATTTTCTTACAATGGCCATAGCATCCTGATAGTTCTGGGTCATATTTCTGGGACTGCCTTGAAACGTTGAAGGCAAAATAATCCTTTTTCCTGGAAATATGGTAACATCATCCTGGTTCTGGTTGTTAACAAATCGGTGAAGCACATCGTAGTCTTCAGCTCGGATTGAGTTTTGATTTTTACGAAACCAATTTAACCGATTAGCCTCTGTCTTACAATATGCGTCAACCATAAACTGGTGAGTTAACTTTCCTGCGTTGAGGAACTGATTAAACTTTCCAACGCGAATGGCAAAATGGTAGGAGTACCACTGTAGTTGAGATATATTTTCTTGACCCTTGTTTTTTTTTAGATCTGTGGTCCACCCTGAATCTCCGTATGGAAAAAGCACAGGGTAGCACATCGGATCGCAGAGTCTGCTTAGGATAGATATGTTTCGTAAATTACCGTTTTTCGGATGAATAGTAATGTCTCGATGTTCGGGGGGTGCACCGTCTGCACTGTGAAAAACAGCGGCGATTTCTCCTCTAGCAGTGGGAGCGTTGCTTCTGCCAGGGTGCACATCATTATGAACAACACTTTCCTTCAAAAAAGTCATGCTATATTCGATGGGAGCTCGATTATCGCGATTTGCCCTTAGCATTTCATTTTTTTCAAAAGTCATCAAGTTATTATATTCCCTTGATAACGGGTTTATTTCACAAAAAAGGTTTTGGAGATTCTCCATAACTTCAATCATACATCTACTGTTTGCAGGATTAGACATTCTCTCTTTTAAAGCTTGAGCCGAATCCAAAATGTACAATTGGGCAAATTTTGGTGATTCGCCTTTACGTGGGTATAGTGCAGAGGTAGCGTGGTATATTTGCCCATGGATTCTGTAGCAATAAGGACCTGAACGTTTAGTCACTGCCTCATCCACTTGTGCTCCCATCGAGGCAAAGGCCATTGCACTATTGTACGATCTGATGTTTTCCATAAAATTTTTGGAATTGGGATCCGATCCACTCATACAATTTGAAATGTAAGGGTGCATTTTTATTTCTGGTAATAAAATGGTTCCTTTGTGGCAACAATTGGATGAGCATTCATTTTTAAAATGTTTAGCATAGCAAAATGGACAATTAATGCTCATTGCGCCGAGGTGACTTTCTTCAATTTCATCTTCTGCGAAGTTTTCATAGAGTAAAGCGGTATTGCAAGATCTGACAAATCTATTCAGACGTCCTGTTTGATGTTGGCGTACAACTCTTTGCCTTTCAGCGTTTTCATTGCGCTCTTGCATAATCTCATTGTGTTGCATTCTATTATTGCGTTGTCTTTCATCTACAACATTCGTTTCGCGTACCTGTAGGATCTGCTCTACATTCATCGCTTCGCGGCGTCGTTGATGGCTAACTGTATTTGCTTCACGTAGTTGTTGGATCTGCTCGACATTCATCGCTTCGCGGCGTCGTTGATGGCTAACTGTATTTGCTTCACGTAGTTGTTGGATCTGCTCGACATTCATCACTTCGCGGCGTCGTTGATGGCTAACTGTATTTGCTTCACGTAGTTGTTGGATCTGCTCGACATTCATCACTTCGCGGCGTCGTTGACGGCTAACTGTATTTGCTTCACGTAGTTGTTGGATCTGCTCGACATTCATCGCTTCGCGGCGTCGTTGACGGCTAACTGTATTTGTTTCACGTAGTTGTTGGATCTGCTCTACATCCATCGCTTCTCGGCGTCGTTGACGGCTAACTGTATTTGCTTCACGTAGTTGTTGGATCTGCTCGACATTCATCGCTTCGCGGCGTCGTTGATGGCTAACTGTATTTGTTTCACGTAGTTGTTGGATCTGCTCTACATCCATCGCTTCTCGGCGTCGTTGACGGCTAACTGTATTTGTTTCCCTATGCTTTAGCAATAGTTGTTCAGGCATGGCTGCTCTACGGCGCCGTTGAGCTTCAGTATTACGTTGTTTTTTTGCTGCAATTTCTTCTGCCGTTGGTGGTTGCTGTCGTTTAGGCGGCATGTTTAGGGCTTTGTATGTTAAATAACACGCAGAATACTCAGAGGCGTATTAACAATAAGTTTAAATGCTTTTGTGCGCTATACTTTTCTTATATAAAACTACAAATGGACACTTGCATTGATATGTGTAACTTGATCTTACCATTTTTGTAGCTGCATTAAAAACAAACATGTTCATTTTTGACTGCACCAAACTAAAAGGCGCGGCGTTTGGGAATTCCCGATTAGAACATAAGCAAGTAATAACATCTCTAGCGTTTACACTGTACAAACAAACGAAATAAAAAAATACTTTAAGGTCAGTTTACTTTATTCTGTACATTTGTGTTTTTTTAAAATTAAAATCGACTTTTTAAAAGCTAAATCTAATTTATATCAAGATAAGTAAGGTACGAATTATGACAACCTTCTAAATATTGTAAAACCAATAGTACTATTAGTACTTGGCTACTGAACGCATTGTACATCTGACGTCATAATCGCACTAAGTGTGACGTATTTTTTCAGTAGAATGTTGGGATAACTTTTTACCATCTTTTTAATTAAAGGGTTCGCGTATATAGAAATATACTTTTCATGAATGAATTTGATTTTATTATTTAATTATAGAAAGTCAATTATTTTTAATGTCTGATACAAATAAAAAGTAACATTTTTGCTTCAATAATAGTCTCAACTGCAAGCCACTCTAAATAGCCTGTCATTTGATATTTCCGATGGTATTAAATACTACTTTTCTCACACTTTAATTATTTTTGTCTTGATTGATTAAATTATGCATAAGTCAACTAATTTTTAACATCCCACCCAACACCGGTACCATGGAAAGAGGGTAGGGTAGGGTCAAGTATGGAGTAAGAAAAAAAGCGTTAAATATCCTTAATCTAACTGTAACTTTGGATTACTGAACTAAATAAACAATCGTATATCACAGGAATCTTTTATAATTGAATCAGTGAAAAGGAAACAAATATTAAAATAACAGCGCCGACCACCATTAAATAGACCTTACGACTCATGAACAGCAATCTGAAAAAAATTCAACACTGTACCGATCCACACCTAACTCAAACCCCGAGCTACCCTACACTTCATTCTGCTAGCCCAGGATCGGCAACCTTTTGATATGCAAGAGCCAAAAGTTACAATTTACAAAATTTCCCAGTTTGTAAAGAGCCACAATTTTTAGTTCAATATTTTAGTATTTGATTAGGATTAGGTACGTAAATTGTAATTGTTATTTAAAATAAATAGCTTTAAATATTAGCCAGTCAGGCCTCAACACGGCAAACGCCAACTAACTGGCTTGGATATCGGTTTGAACAACTTGCATCGTACGCTTCTATCCTTTGGTTCTCATAAGGCTTATCTTCTATCCCACTGAACGCAGGGTAAAGTCGTACCCCACCGTCCAGTAAAAATGAAGTTATATAACTAAAAATATGTGTGCAAGGAGCTGGAGAGCTGCATCTGGACGTCAAAAGAGCCGCATGCAGCTCGCGAGCCCAGAGGCATAGCGACCCTTCCCGGCGCCCGGGGACAAACTTTCGATTTGCACCCCCCTTCAAACTTTTTCCAACCCATTTTGGCGCCCCCTATGGTCGGCGTCCGGGGACATATGTCCCCCCTGCCGACCCCACCCCCCCCCCCCCATCGCTACGCCTCTGCGCGAGCCGCATGTTGCCGACCCCTGCCCTAGCCACATCAACCCGCAAGCACCACTCGTACATCACTGTATTATCCAAACGGCTGCATCTATGTTTTTTATGCTGATATAGCAACCAAAACCGTAACTCATAAACCTCTCTAAAATTTAATTTTACTTATCAAACAATATAACATTTTTAAAAATGGCGCAACGCTCTAACTGATGTCTGCCGAGATTTCTCTTCTCCCCTTCCCCGTGGTGTAATGTAAGCCGCCGACGTACATCATGTATTAAACCACATACATTTAATTTAGTTTTACCTACCATATATCACTTTATAAATTCACGCATTTTTTCCCAGTACTTTAAATTTTAAAAATTTATAATATTTTCATAACTAAAACCATTGCGCATCCAATGAATGTGATGGCTCGTCTATAATAGTGCGGAATAGTTGATTTATAAGTAGTAAACAGTACATTCAGTGAATAAAATAAATAAAAGATTGCCTTTTATCAATCCATGCTAATTATAATTTTCTAACAATCCGCATCCGCACAATTTGCATTCACATTTTGCTGATTATATTATTGCAACACTAATTCCTTCTAGAAGGTAAGTAGATTTGCATTCACATTTTTTTTTATTAGCGTGAGTTTAATTTATTTTTAAATTACCTCCCTTGTCAAAATTAGAAAAAAGAGTTAAATTAATTTGATTTTTCTACCCTACTGTTATTATGTTAATAAAATGTATCCACTTTTTCTGGGAATATTAAAGAAAACTATATTTGACATTGATCCTTTTAATATGTTTTAGCAATGTGCGTGTATTTAATATTCTCTTTACGTTATGCAAAATTGTACAAACAGTGGAAATTATAAAATAGCTCTATGCCGCTATATAAACAAACCCTACTCTAATACTTATAATAAGACACTGCGGTGCACTGAAAAGCACAGCATGGTGCGTAGTTTACTTTTATAGTCCCAAAATCTATAGCGATGACGGACGGACGGACGGACGGAAGGAAGGAAGGACAAGCACAGCCCGCTTATATTATAGATGCCCTGTGTGTATATACTTATGTTGAGAAAGACCACACTCACTAAGAAACTTTTTATGACAAACATGACAATCACATGGCTTATCTAAAGTATGATTTCTTTTATGGTTGGTTAATTCAATGCTCCTTATGATTCTATGGCAAGCATCACCTTTATATTTCTCATCAGAATGAATATGTTTATGTCTTTTCAAATGGAATTTCCGTACAAATTTTTTAAAACAAACATTACATTCGTGCCGCTTAATTTCACAATCCTTGATTACTTGATGAACGTTTTTATGTCGAGATAACATCCATTGCCATGTAAACTGTTTTTGACAAATACCACAATGATATGACTTATCTGCAGAGTGCAGAGACTTATGTTGAGATAAATAACGTTTCGCTGCAAATCTTTTAAGGCAAATTTCACATTCAAAATGTTTTTCATCACAGTGAATCGGTCTATGTTTTGTAAGATCACTCTTAAAAACAAACTTTCTATTGCAAACATCACACTCATGCAGTCTGTCCCCTGTGTGAATTTTCTTATGATTGGATAAATTGTCTCTCCTAACAAATTTTTTAAAACAAACATCACATTCATGAGTTTTTACTCCAGAATGAATCTTAATATGTCTATTTAAATCAGATTTATTGAAAAACATTTTCTGACAATTATCACATTTGAGAAATATATCTCCAGAACGTTTAGTTTTAAATTCCTTTAAATTAGTTTTCATTTTTACTTTCTCGTATATACGAAGTATAGAGAAAGTCTTGTAATCGTGCAAAAAAAAAAAATCGAGATTTTTACAAATCTCGACGTTTTACACCTCACTGATACGGAAAAACATAATTTTGCAATCTTGTCCGTATGTCTGTGTGTCTGTCTGTGTGTCTGTGTGTCTGTCTGTCCGTGTGTAAACACGATAACTTGAGTACCGTTACAGCTACGTTGATGAAATTTCATATATAAGTATTTTATCAAAATCGTAGATCCGTATCAACTTTTGAGCGATTTCCGATAACCGGAAGTGGTACTTTTCCTACTTTGAATTTTTCAAAAGCCTATAACTTGAGTACTATTTCAGATAGACAAATGAAATTTCAAATGTAAGTAAAAGATCTAATTCTCTACCTTCTGTTAAATTTTGAGTAATTTCCGTTGACTGGAAGTAGTAATTTACGCTACTTCCGATTTCTCAAAAAACTAATGTAAATTTTAAAAGTACTAATAATATTGCGCACCATTATGCGCTTTTTTATTTGGCGTTCACTTTGTGTGCAATTAATTTGTCTACGAGATTTTATTCTATTTTTAAAACTTTAAGTATTTAAAATGGATTAAAAATCATGTCTATAGCCCGAGTTCCCATCCCCTGTTATTTTATATAAGAATATTCGAGAAAGTTTAGGGGAGATCACTCCCGGTTTATTATGTAAGCATTGCGTTCATTTATAGAGTAATTTTTGTTAGGTGAAGATAAAATAGATGTATGCCACATTTCTTCTGCGTGCATTTTCAGATGCTGTGTCAGTTGATCAATGGCCTCAAATGTCTGATTACACATAGCACACCTGTATTTGGTTTTTTCTTTCAGAATCATCTGAACATTTGAAGATGCATTATTTATAGACGGTGGATTCATAGACTTAAATTTAATTAAATCTTGATAAATCAAAAGTGAGAGATTTTTAATACAGTCTGATTCCTCATTCTCAACAGTGAAAAATGTTGGTACATCTTGCTTTTTGGTGTAGCACGAAGGAAGCTCAGATAACGGAAGAGAATTTAGCTCTCTTGTAAAGAAGTCTGGTTTAGTTTCCTCGTTGACTCCAATTTAACCATGAATGCAGTGGCCATTCCTTCTTCTTTCTTTACTCACAGCTTGAGATTTAAAAAAAATGAAAATTTAAAAAAAATGACTAAAGAATAAAGCAATTTAAGAAAACAGTAATTTGGTAAGAACAAAAAAATAATTCTATTAGCCTAATATATTTAATTATACATCATCTGACTGCCTATCTTCCTTGAAAGTACTGAAAAAAATAAGTATTTATATATATATATATATATATATATATATATATATATATATATATATATATATATATATATAAAGCAAAGTGGTCAAGTGCCCGATAAGGCACTTCCCGGCGCCGCAGTCGCGTCAAATTTGGCACGATGGTGCCTTGGAGGGATAGAACACGAGGGCCGGTGACGGTTGGCCGAAAAGTCTACGGAGAGGGGGTCAAAACTGACCTCGACTGACCGGGCGCCTTATATGGGCTATATTAAAAA